AAAAAAAAAAAAAAAAAAAAAAAAAAAAAAAGATAAAATAGAAATAGTGATAACATATAAAACGCATTTTTTTTAAAAAAATAAACTATATATAATATTTTTTTTTTTTTTTTTTTATTTGAAAAAAATAAATAATATATATATTATTTTAAAATTTGTTTTTTTTTTTTTATCATTATATTAAACAAAAACAACATTTGATAATTATTTATTTTTATTTTTAATTTCAAGTAGTAAATATGAAAATATTAGTTAATATTCCTTATGATGGCTCTGTATGTATTGAGTCATCCGATGTTAAAACTGTAAAAAATGTAAAGGAACAAATATCTGAGTTAAAAGGTAATTTATATTTTATTACTGTTTTTTTTTTTTTTTTTTTTTTTTTTTTTTATGTTTTTTGTATACATTGTAAAATATGCTTTTATCTTCATTATAAATATATGCATTAGCTTTACTTAGTTTTATAACTCACGAGTGTTTATTCATATATGATGGATGAGTGCTCATTTTTATGATGGATATATGATCTTTATATATATATATATATGCTGCGCTTTGAAGGGTGTTTTGTTTGTTGTTCTTTTTTATCTGCATATATGAATTACAGGATTAATAGTCCTCAAAATTCTGTATGTGTTGTCATACTTTATTCATCTGATTTTTTATTTTTAACTATAGATATCCCATGTGAGTTTCAAAAGTTATACAAATGTGGACGTCAATTAGAAGATGACGAATTAATTCAAAGCGATGAGTTTGATTTTGTAAGTTTATATTAAATAGGAAAAAAAAAAAAAAAAAAAAAAAAATGAGAATACTGTATTTGTAGCACTTAAAACGAAATGAGTAGATAGAAAGAAAAAATGCAAATGTTATAGAAACTAGTTATATATATATATATATATATATATATGTACGAGTTGTGTATATTGCATGAATCAGTGCATCCATTCAAATATACGAATATAAGATTAATTATTTTTTAATGATGAAAAACTGCTTAATTGCAAGTAGGGACATGAGAATAGTGAATGTGTTCGATTTTACATTGTCTGAAAAAAATAAAAATCTATATATCCATATATCCATATATATATATATATATATGTATGTTTATTACTAGTTTACTTATATTTTATTATTTGCATATATAAATATATGTAAGCATTTGAATTAGTTATAAAATATATTGAAATTTTTTTTTTTTTAATGATGATAAATTGTTTATTTGCAAGTAGGGACATGAGAATATAAAATGTGTTCGCTTTTACATTGTCTGAAAAAAAAAAAAAACTCTACATATTTATACATATACATACATATCACTACTTTTTTAATGTTTTATATATTGCACAAATTTATATAAGCATTTAAATTAGTTATAGAATATATTGAATTTTTTTTTTTTTAATGATGATAAATTGTTTATTTGCAAGTAGGGACATGAGAATATAAAATGTGTTCGCTTTTACATTTTCTGAAAAAAAAAAAAAAATCTCTATATCTATACATATTATATATATATATATATATATATATATATATATGTTTATTACTATTTTATTTACTGGTTTAATATGTTGAATATATATGAAAAAAAAAAAGTAAACATCTTTTTTTTTTTTTTTTTTTTTTTTATATAAAATGTGTATATTTATTTTTTATGTAATGTTATATATTTAAAATAAGAGAGAGGATGTATTATGAGTTATATGTGTTATAATGTATATATTTTTGTTTACTATTATATAAATTAGATATGTATAAAACATTAGCACATATATGTTTTTTTTTTATTTATTTTATATGAATTATTTATTAGGTCCATACGATAGATTTAAATTTCAGTTTACTTGGAGGTGGTAAAAAAAAAAAGAAGAAAGTTTATAAGAAACCCAAAAAAGAAAAACATAAGAAAAAGAAAGTAAAATTGGTAGTACTTAAGTTTTATAAAGTAGGAGATGATGGAAAAGTAGTTAGACTAAAAAAACAATGCCATAATTGTCCAGAAGGGACATTAATGGCATCACATTATAATAGAGATTACTGTGGAAGATGTCACCTTACTATTATGAAAAAATAATTTTTTTCATTTAATTATACATGTAAAAGAAATATGTTTTTTTTTTTTTTTTTTTTTTTTTTGATTATATGCACACTTTAGAAACTTATATATTTATGTACATACTAAAAAAAAATGTAAAACTATGGATGAAGAATGTACGATTCTTTATTTAAGAGCAGATTAAATTTTTATTAACAGTAAAAATTGCTCACATTAACCATTAATCATTAACCTTATTTATCAATTTTGTAATCGAACAAAAAAGTAAATATAAATAAAAAAAAAAAAAAAAATTTTAAAACATTATAATATTTTTTAAGAAATGTATACTTTTAAGAGTATAATTTATACGTTCTATGTTAAAATTATATTAAAAAAAGTAAAAATATGAGTTTACTTATTCTGCAATTTTATGTGCACGTATATACATGTGTATTTTGTATATTTAAATATATCATTTAATAAGTCTATTTTATACATTTAAAACAACATTATTTTATCTTGTATTTTGCTTATGATTTTTATTTTTTTTTTTTTCTCTAAATATTGAAATAATAATAGCATAAAACCGTAAAAAAGAAAAAATGTGAAATCTATAAAAAATTTAAAAATATCGAAAAAGTAGGGAATTTTTTCTTCTTTTTTCCTTAAAATATTTTTAAGTTAAACGATTCGATAATTATTTAGCAAACTGGTTATTAATTTCAAAAAAAAAAAAATTTTATAATAAAATAAATTAAATATATTTAAATAATGTATTATATAATTTTTTAGTGAATAATAATGTAAAATATATTTATTTATTTATTTAATTTTTTTTTTTTTTTTATAACGTAAAGGTAAAAAATATACGAATGCATTGGCATTTATATATATATTTTGCTGTGAAAAAAAAAAACAAAAAAAAAAAAAAATCTGAAACTATTGTTTTCATTTTTTTTTATTTTTAATAGTTTTGCCCTATCTTGATAAAAAATAACTTGAATGAATATAACATATTTATTAATATTTACCAATTATTCGTTAAACATAAATTTATTTTATGAATTAGCTTGTAAAAATTTGTCACACTTATACATAAATATATATATATATATATATATATATACATTTAAAGGACATATATTGGACCAGTGAAGAATTTATTTTGATTTTTAAAAATAGTAATAAATAAAAAGTTAAGAAATTAAAAAAAAAAAAAAAAAAAAATAACATTTTTATAAATAATTTTGAACTTATGGATCAGAGGGGGGGTAGTACGGATCAGTAAATATAAGTATATTGTACTGTTTAACATAATTTTTAAGTACATTGTATGAGCAAAAAAAATATATATATTTATGTATATATACAAATGCATGTATGTACATAAACAATATAAATGAATTAAATTGTATTTATTTAGACCCCATGTAAAACATATAAATGTCAGAGTATTGGATTAGCACAAAAAAACACTATTGCGAAACCTGTAATTGTTGGGTATCAGGAAATAAAATAAATATAAAAAATCATGAGAAAGGCACAAGACATATTGAAAATTTTAAAAAGTTGATTAGTGCATCATATAAAAGAAAAGAAAAAGAAAAACAAGAGAATGAATTTATAGAAAAAGAATTGAAAAAATTCGAAGATGTCGAAAAAAAGTTACTTCTTAATTTAAAAAAGAATGAAAATCTTGAAATTAATAAAAGTTATAATATAGAAACAGGGAATATAATTAATAATAATATAAATATTGGTGATAATAATATAAATATTGGTGATAATAATATAAATATTGGTGATAATAATATAAATAATGGTGACAATAATAACATACTTAGTAGTAATAAAAACATAATTAATACAAATATAAATAATAATTCTGTTAATATTATTAACAGTAATAATGTTAATAAAAAAAAATGGACATTAATGGTAAATGAAGACACAGGACGTTTGATTTTTGTAAATATATTAACAAATGAAATATGTTATGAAAAACCTAAAGATTTTTATGAAAGTATACCAGAATGTGAAATATTTTCTGAACAAAATGGATGGTATAAATATTTCGATTACAATGCAAGAAATTTTTATTATTATAATATAAATAGTAAAAAAGGTATATGGCAATATAGTTTACATACATTAAATATTTTGAATGATTATACAAAAAATTACTATAATACATTGGTAAAAAATACAAATAATTATGATAGTAATAATAACAACAGTAATAATATAGCAAATAATGTTAAAAATTATAATACTACTTTTACAACAACCGTTTTACCAACGGAGAAGAACATCAATAAAAATGTTAATAAAAACGTTAATATAAACTTTAATGAAAACGTTAATGAAAACGTTAATATAAACATGAATTATCAAAATTCTCAATATTACCTTGATAAAATAAATGGTATGAATAACATAATGACATATAATCCAGTAATGAAAAACGGAATTGAAAATTTTAATAATAATTTTAATTATAATTTTAATAATAATTTGATTAATAATTTGGTTAATAATTCGGTTAATAATTCGGTTAACAGTTGTAATAAAAAATGGGAAACACATGAAAAGTTGAATGAAGAGATAAGTAGGGTAAATAAAATAAGTGAAATGTCCCATATTGATTCAATAAATCGAAACGACGAAAATGCAAAAGCAATTAAAAATAAAATGATCAATACAAATATTAACACTTTATTAGTAGATTCAGATGAAAACACAAAAAAGGAAATGAATTTACATATTGTAAAAAAAAATACAACAAATAGTGAAAATAATGATAAGGTAAATTATCAAGCTGTGTCAAAGGATATAAGTGTTTTAAAACATGATAATATTTTAAATATAGAACAGAAAAAAAAAAAAAAAAAAAATAATATAAATATTTCTTTTTCATATAAAAATAAGAATAATATACATTTAAATACAACAGATAGTAGAACAGAAGATAAAACAGAACAAGAATTGAAAATAAATAATACACAAAATACACAAGAGTTAACAAAAAATAGTAGTAATTACAATATAACTGAACTCAATGACTCCAAGCTAGGTGTATGGGAAACAGTTGAAGATAAAAAGACCAAAACTATATCAGATGATAAAATAGAAGAAATTTTTTATAATATAAAAAGTAAAGAACAAATAGAAAAAGAAGAACTTGCACAAAGAGAAGCAAATATTAATTATGAATATTCCGAATGTAATGAATTTTATATTAAAAAAAAAGAACTAGAAAATAATGAAATATACCTAAATCAAGAGTTTAAATTTATTGATAAACCTATATATAAAAAAGCCATTGATAAAAACCTTAATAAAAAAATGGGATTTGCGAAAAGAAATGTTAAATCCATACAAAATAAAAAAAAAAAGTTGTAAAATTGTCCACATATTTAAAAATGTTTGGGAGCAGCGTTAGTTTTGTAAATCTTAAAAAAAAAAAAAAAAACTGTTGAACTTGCTCCCACATATATATATATATATACAATATATATGCATGTCCGTGTGTGAATAGTCATATCAAAGACTGTTTTGCTTTGCTTTGACGTTACTTAACTTTTTTCTTTAATTTATTTAACATATCTTATATTTTATTTTTTTCCTATTTTGGTTTGATTTAGTATATAATAATAAATTTAATTATTATATTCTGTTATATGTCCTTGTATTTGTTTTTTACTTTGCTTTTTACTTTGCTTTTTACTTTGCTTTTTACTTTGTTTTTTACTTTTCTTTTTACTTTTCTTTTTACTTTGCTTTTTACTTTGCTTTTTACTTTGTTTTTTTTTTTTTTTTTTTTTTTTTTTTTTTTTTTTGTTTTTGTTTTTTTCGTGTTACTATATGTAGTATTCATTCCGTGTTTTTTTTAAATACTAACTTATCCATGCGTTAAGATGTTTGTGTATTTTTAGTCACTTTTAAAATATTACCACACACATGGGTAAATAATAAAAATGCACAAATCTAGAATTAGATAAAAAAAAAATAATA